AAAAGGAGAGAGAAAAAAATCCAGCAGTATAGAAAAAGCCATATATCTGATATAGATTATTCGAAAACCATTTAAGGGAGTATTTCTTCCCTTAAACACTGCACACTAAGCCTTTCATTTTATCACCTTAAACGAAAAAAAAACATCCCCCACAACACACCCACATAAACGAACGCACACATAGACACAGACATATAAAAACAAACGCATACACGCACACACCCACACACAAGTACGTGCACATACACGCGCATCCACACACAACCACACACAAACGCACACACTCACACAAACACAAATGCTCACACACAATATATATACATATATATATATATATATATATATATATATATATATATATATATATATATATATATTGTGGGGTAGGAGGGTAATGGGGGTAGGGAGGGAGGGAGAGAGGGTGAGCGATGGGAGTAGGGAGAGGAAGGAGAGGGCAATGCGGGGTAGGGAGGGGGATGGAGAGGGGGAGGGCGATAGGGGGTAGGGAGGGGAAGGCGATGGGGGTAGGAAGGGAAGGGGGGATGGGGAGGGCAAGGAGATAGGAGGGGTGGATCGGGTGGGGGGGAAGGAGGGGAGGGGAGGGGGCCGAGAAGATAGGAGGGGTGGATCGGGAGGGGAAGGCAAGGAGATAGAAGGGGTGGATCGTGGGGGGATGAGGGGAGGGGAGCAAGGGGATGGGATGGAAATGCGCAGCTCCCGTGGATTAGAGAGAGCAGTGGCTCAGACGCTGCTTAAACTTGGCGCTGGTGTACGCACAAATACATGTACGAACAGAGGCGATCACTCGTACACCAATACGCACATACACTGCTGTTTACGCTTCCACAGATACGTGCCTTGGCTATCATTAACAGAATACTCACACGATTATTCCGCACACAACACACACACATACAAACACACACACACACACAAACCCATACATAGATACACACACACACACCTACACACAAACACACCTACACACAAACACAAAACCTTACATAGATACACACACATACCTACACACAGACACACACACACACACACACACAAAACCTTATATAGATACACACACACACACCTACACACAAACACACCTACACACAAACACAAACAAACCGCAAACACACACACACACACAACACACACACACACACACACACACACACAAAACCTAACGCAGCTACACACAAACACACAGAAACACACACAGACATACCCAAAACTCGTACACTCACAACGGACACACACAACACACACTCGCACGTCCAGCCACTCACTCACTCGCAGTCATAGGCAATTAGAAAGAGATTAATACTGTATACCCTCGCATTACCCATCATTAACCTACTTTATATCACAGTTTAGATATTTCGGTTTAGTTAATTATGGCCGGTGACTCTGGCAAGAGAGGAGAATCATTGTTATTGGGTTTAGCCATCGGTCGCTATCAAGTCTGTTTGAAATGCTGTTTGTTTTGTCATCATTTTATTTTTTTTTTCTCTCTCTCTGTCTCTCTGTCTTCTGTCTTTCTTGCCTGTCTTTTCTGCTGTCTGACTCTTTTGTCTTGTTCTTTCTCTCTTCTATTCTCGTCTCTCTTTCTACTCTCTCTCTCTTTCTCTCTCTTTCTCTGCTCTCTCTTCTCTCTCTCTCTCTCTCTCTCTCTCTCTCTCTCTCTCCTCTCCTCTCTCTCTCTCTCTCTCTCTCTCTCTCTCTCTCTCCACACAGAAGCACAAAAGAGAGAAAAACATATATATACTGTCAATCTTTCTCTCTTTCATTCTCTCCCTCCCCCCCCCTCCTCTCCTCTTTTCCCTCTGTCTATTGCTTCCATTCCTTCCTTCCCTTATTCTCTCTTAATCAATTTTATCAAATTTCATATTTATTGACTCGCACCTTTCTTCTTTACGTTTCTTTCTTTCACATTCTCCTCCTCCTCATTCGTTCATTCACAAATCATATGATTCATTCCCTTATTCCTTCACCTATTAATTTACCTATCCATTTACTTGATTATCATTTCCCCTCATCTTACTTCTTTACGGTTCTTTCTTTCACATTCTCCTCCTCGTCTTTCCTTCATTCACAAATCATATCATCCACTCCCTTATTCCTTCACCTATTCATTTACCTATCCATTTACTTGATTATCATTTCCCCTCATCTTACTTCTTCTTTACGTTTCTTTCTTTCACATTCTCCTCCTCGTCTTTCCTTCATTCACAAATCATATCATCCACTCCCTTATTCCTTCACCTATTCATTTACCTATCCATTTACTTGATTATCATTTCCCCTCATCTTACTTCTTCTTTACGTTTCTTTCTTTCACATTCTCCTCCTCGTCTTTCCTTCATTCACAAATCATATCATCCACTCCCTTATTCTTTCACCTATTCATTTACCTATCCAGTTACTTGATTATCATTTCCCCTCATCTTACTTCTTCTTTACGTTTCTTTCTTTCACATTCTCCTCCTCGTCCTTCCTTCATTCACAAATCATATCATCCACTCCCTTATTCCTTCACCCATTCATTTACCTATCCATTTACTTGATTATCATTTCCCTTCCCGTTACGACCCGAAAATCCCTTAGACCAGCGAATCGGCGACTTTTTTACCGCCAAAGACCCTTTCATTTGAATTAATTTTCCTATGAACCCATCTGCCGAAAAGGTGGTCTACTCGAGAAGCCAATTTTACCAACTATCGTCAAAATCAATTTCCTAGTTTCATATTCTATTGGAAGACCTAAGTAACGAGTATGTCATTAGATTAATCGTTATCCTAGTTTCATATTCTATTGGAAGACCTATCCTAGTAACCGAGTATGCTATTAAATGAATCGTTATATTAAAGAAAGAAAAGAGAAAAAGGTTTAGCATTATTATCTACCTTTATCGTGAGTAATATTAGGTATTGCGGAAAACATTTTTTTTTCTTGGTTCAGGGACCCCCAGCATCACCATTGTGGATTCATAGTTTTGAAACTTCTATTTTAGACTGTCCAATGGGCATGAATATGTCGTTTCTCTCTTTTAATTCTATGTTTTACCTAATTATCCTGCTATTTATCATGTTTGCTTACATTATTTTTCATATGTTTAAATAATTTTATGCAGTACTTTCCGAATTGTTTACAAGAGTCATTCATGTATTCAGTCATAGTTCTTATATTGATCACTTTATCAATAATAAAATTATCTTAAATTATCAAAAAAACTTAAAATCTCACCTCCTGTTTACACCTACCTTTGTCCCCACTCTATTTCTCCATTTCATCTCTTTATATTTTCTTCAATTTCTTTCTCTATTTCCCCTTTCATTTGCAATTCTCCCTAGAATTCTCTCTTCTTTTGCTTACCTCTACATATTCATCCATTTCTACTTAACCGTTTCTTTTATTTTCTTTCTTTCTTCTTTGCAATCCACTTATTTTTGACCCATCTTTATATACATCTTCTAAATAGCAAATTTAAAAACCTGCATAGAACCCTTGCATATCCATCTGACAATGAACACACTTATTCTTTCAATAACTCTTTCTCTTCCTTTTTAAT